TCGTCTGGCAATAGGATTTCCTACTGTCCACAGAGAGCTTGGCTACAAAACGCAACCCTCCGGGACAATATATTATTTGGCGAACAACTTGATATTGAAAGGTAAATATATCCCGGTATATATTACATTTCTATAAGCAAATTAATGTGGCATGTACAGCATTATACATTGAATATGTTCTTTGCAATCGCGGGATAATAATATGTATAACAGTCTCATTTGTATTATTCATTGTTATTGTTTGCATAGATATAACAAAGTGTTAGACGTTTGTGCATTAAGACCCGATATCGATATACTACCAGCTGGCGATGTGACTGAAATCGGTGAAAGGGGCATAAACCTGAGCGGGGGACAAAAACAACGAGTCAGTGTAGCCAGAGCATTTTATAGTAAAACAGATATTGTCATATTGGTAGGTAATGCATGTGGTTTGTAAACGAACTGTTGATTTAATAAATACGAATGGTGATGATTAGAATACCTGTCTTCTCTTAATGAAGTATATTATTTTCAGGACGACCCAATGTCGGCTCTGGATATCCACGTCGGGTCACATCTGATGAGTGAAGGCATACTTAATTTCTTGAAAGAAGAAAAAAGAACAGTCGTTCTTGTCACACATCATCTACATCACTTAAACCATGCAGACATGGTAGGTCGAATAATTACAGGAGTTATTGCACTTTGTTATATTACAAAGACAATGTTTATTAAAACTGTGATCCGAGTTGTACAATATGTTTCATGTAATATTTCAGGTTTTATACATGGTTCACGATGGCACCATTATGCCTGATGCTCTCTCAAACCTCCGTTACAGCTGCAAATCTCCTTGAAATGACCCTATTGGGAAATGGGCAGCGGTAAAAATTCCTTCTAAAACTTCTTGTTTCCATTGCAATCTAATCAGATCTCTTCCAAAATCTAATAGATCGGTCTTTGTCTCACGGACAGTTTCTAAATAAATAATAAATAATATCAACTACTGCCCATTTCGTAGTCTTTATTATATTACAATACATGATAAAGGGCCACTGTTCAAAACGCCTGATTATATTGAATACATACCAAAGATGATGTTTACCATATACAAGGTACTTTGTTCAATCTTTTAAGGTCATTGCTATGGACAACTGCACAATATCCAGACAAGGTAACCTAAAAGAAATACAAGATGGAAATCCACAGTTGTACACAGAATGGCAAAGAACAATAACGCTGATAAGCGAGTCAGAGAATGAGAGCGAAAACGAAGAGAAAGATTCCTGAATTGGAACAAAGAAAACTACTGGTACAAATTGACAGGAAAGCAAAAGAGCGTAAAATAGAAGATGGTGGGTTTGCATATCGGTAGTTAAACCGACAAAGTGCTTTATATCTAAACAAATAAATTCACTAAATGAGTACATGATTAATGTGTCAATGTGCTAAACTTGTTGTATTTTACTTTCACTTTAAGGCGACACTGGTACTTTGATTGAAAAAGAAGAACGTGAAACAGGTTCGGTGTCGTGGAGAATATATTTAGCATATATCAAAGCGATAAAATACCCTCTGTTTGTGTTGACTATTGTGATGTACACATTGCAGGGAGTTGCCCTCATTTTAAATAACTTCTGGTTATCCGATTGGTCCGAGTCGGGATCAAATACCGGTAACAAAACCCAGGTAATGAATAGTTTTATAATTTAACTTTTTCGGAATGATGCTATATACTGTAAAACATGTTGAAAAAGCAACATGCAATTTTAGCGAATTGTGGTAAAATGACGTAATAGAGAAATGTTGATTTAGCGAATCTCTCTTGTTAATGTTGATTTCTTTTTTGGCGGCCATTTTGAATTGATAATAAAGTCTTGAATTGACATCTTGAATTAGCGAATCAATTCTCTCGCTAAATTCGCGAAAAAGACATGTTTTACAGTATTCATAAAGTAGTTACGTGGCCGTATGTGTATTGGTTTTAGAACGAACTAGATGCTGAGCTGGACTACTATCTCAAGGGATACGCTGCCTTCTCCTTCACATACTTGGGACTTGCGGCTGCAGCTACAACTTTTCATATTATGTTCGCACTTCTAGGCGCCAAACGTTTGCATATCAAGTTATTACGTAACATCGTACACGCTCCGATGCGGCTCTTCGATACGACTCCCATCGGTAGAATTATGAATCGATTATCCGATGACACACAGACAGTAGATCAGGTAGATCGTTGCTCATTTCATTGATTTTACATTGTTTTTTTGGTAAATTTATTACAATTAATTAAATTTAAATGTGATTTCCTTTTAGAGAATATGGATAACTTTATATGGGATACTAACGGCAGCGTCCATCTCAGTCTCTACCATTGTTGTCAATACAGTCGTTTCACCAATTTTCCTCGTTGCTGCTGTGCCATTAGTTGTCACGTACGTTCTAATCATGCGACATTTCCTGACTAGCGCCAGGTATGATACCGATAAACATATTGACAAAAAATAATTTCAACACACAGGTCTTTGTCGTGTTATTTCATATTTGTTTTTTGTCTTGTTTTATTTTGTTTTCACAACAGAGAATTACAGCGCCTAGCCAGCATATCACGATCGCCAGTGTTTGCTCACTTCTCTGAAACGCTCGGGGGTATAACAACAATTAGAGCATACAGGTGAGGCTAACTCCTCGTTACTTTATAATAACTCACATCATCTGCTTCTAACCTATGTTGATAGGGCAAGGAAAGTTTGTATATTGCGGTTACATTTCAGTTACATGATGTATGTGTCTTCTAGCATTCAGCGACGGTTTTGGAAGCGGCTGTGTAGCACTGTGGATAACAACAATGTGGCGCTGTTGTATATGAATACAGCTAATCGATGGGTTGGAACTCGTCTGGTATGCTATTATTTATGTTTTACATTATTCATAATTATCCGAGTTTGTATTATTGTATTCATGTCGCTTTTAATAAAACAAGCCGTCAAGGGGATGGGTGGGCATTAATTACTGTTATGTGTGTTGCACATTAACAGAACATTTTGTAATGAAATGTGCACATTACAATCACGTCGAATTCTATGAAACGTCACCTCTTGGTATCAACATGCAAATTATATGGAAAATTAGTTGTATTTTACACTTGGTTGATGTTGTTGTTTTGCAGCTATAATTTATGATTATTATTCCCACCTACCTGATAGTTATAATTACTATATAATTATTATTTGAAATGTGTAACACCATTTGACAATAACATGAATATCCGATTCAGCAAGTAATATGGTATATTCTGTTTAAGTAGTTTGTGGTCATATGCTTTTGTCTCATTCGAGTGTTGATCGTCTGATACAAATGTGTGAATAAATGTATCTTAACCCCTGATATATTTGTAACAATTTCTTCACAGGAAAGCATCGGTGCGCTTATTGTATTTGCGGCTGGTTTGTCTGCACTTTTAACATGCATACTTGGAGAACTAGAACCAAGTTTGGTGGGACTGTCGTTGGCATACGCGATTTCTGTGAGTACACTATTTATGTGTTTTTTTTCCTCTTTTTTTCATTAATGTAAGCTGTCCATACAGTCTGTGTATACTTTATTTATAAATGCGTGTACGTGTACAAATCTTCCGCAATCTTCAGACATAATCTGACCGTAATGCTATGACCTTGTGAAGTCGTTAAATTTTAACTGATATATTCAATTATATAGTTTTAAACGTGTAAACCAGCCATAGTCTCGTGGTGCAAATATGAAATATCATTCAAGATTTAATATAATGTCATACAATTGATCATACATGTACATTGTAGATGTAGAATATCATTGTCTGAAAAAAGTGTTCCCCTATCAAGGGTTAACTGGAAAATCTGTATGTTGAATGCAAAAGATTTGCGCATGCTCAGTTGTCTACGTCACTTGTTCTGATATGCTTGCACATCCAGTAACATCCAAGCTAATGTCTCCTACAATTCACAGCTATCTGGACACAGTTCAATGCTGATACGCCTTATGGCGGATTGTGAGATGCAAATGAATGCCGTGGAAAGAATAGAACATTACACACAATTAGAATCGGAACAATATCAAGGTAAAATGTAAATGAGTTGATGACATCTATGTCATCTTAATTATAACGCTGAAGTGTTATTTTTGAGAGATGAATGGATTTGTGGACCAGTAAAAATCGGAAACAGATGATCTCAGAAGGCGTTGATGTCGCTAGTCTGATGTAAACCATTACATATGTGCCCATTGTTGGCTATATGTCTTCACGTATATATCTTTCTCATATATAATATTGTTGCGTAGGTATGTGTTATCTGCGTTTATAGGTGTATATACTGATAGTGTAGACCGATCTACTAAACAGTGCCATTGTGATGGTCATCAGAACACGGATGTCTCACAGCTAGATACGCAACCACGACATAATTGAAATCTGTATAGAAACGCACACAGCAAAAAATAAATAAATAAAAGATTAACATATAGTTGTGTTTGTTTGACAGGTGTATGTATTCCACATAGCAATTGGCCAAATAAAGGCGATATCATCTTTGACAATATATCGGTCCAATACGCGGCTGGACTAGATCCCGTTTTAAGTGACGTCAACGTTCACTTCAAATCCGGACAGAAAGTAAGTAATAATGCTGGAATAATAATGTAACCTTCCTTGTCATCTGGTGGAATTACACGTGAATCTGGTGCAGGTAACTCGGCAAAACAAGATACTAACTACTGGTAGTTACTACTTAAAATATATTAGCTTTCCCATCAAAATGTTGTTAAAGATGAAATTGTCACCATGTAAACTTATTAAACTATTAATCGAAAGTTATATCTCCTTTTTATCAATTTATTTTCAGATCGGTATATGTGGTCGTACGGGGAGTGGCAAATCGTCGCTGGCATTATCATTATTCAGGATTGTTGAGATCTGTTGTGGTTCGTGAGCATTTTACTTAAAGTATTGTCTGTGTCGAGATGTCTGTTTGTTTGTAGTTCGTTTCGAAGGTCCGTCATGCTGTGCGTTGAGAGTCTATTGCAGATTGTAACAATTCACAAGATAATACTCGTAAATACATTTGGAATTGCGATTTCATTGAACAGTTTCAGATACACTTACGTATGTATGTGCATACGCGCATTGGAAAAACTTGATTTTTTAATATGCCTTACCAAAACCGCTTTTTACGGAGAACAACACATTTTTTATGTTTGTCTCATTTTTGTAATACACTCTTAACTTTATCACAGCCAGTTCCATCTTTTTATCACACATTCACAATATAGTCCTGTTTAAAGTCTACACTTTTCTTCAGAAGATTGGGACAAAAATCGCGAATTTGTTTGAGTAAAAACTGAAAATTGATTCAAATTTTATCAGTTGGCCCCAAAATTAGGGTTCATATCCAGGAATATTGAAGAATATAAGAGAACAAATACAGAACAATTTGGGCGAGAAAGTTTCGTTGTGAAATGGTTAATACGGGTACATGTAACTCACCAAACATTCCATCATACGCAACTAATACTACTTCCATTGTTTGTTTTCATTTTCATCTTTTCTTCGCAATCCTAGGGCGGATTCTGATAGACGGCGTTGATATAATGACATTGCCGTTATTGTCACTTCGTGGAAAGTTGGCGATTATTCCTCAGGACCCTGTGTTATTTCAAGGAACTATACGGTATGTAAATCACGGTGAACATAGAAAATGTGTGAATATACTCTCACAAATACCTTATATATTAGATTCAATGTTATTCGTGAGAATGTGGTCATTTGTAAATCAGAGTGCATGGGAACCCATATATTGTGATAAAGTAAAGCGCCACATCAGTCGTTTAGCGTGTGTTCGAATTTCGTGTATATGTCGCATGATGGGACCCACATGCTATGCGGCGCGATGGCAACGGCGCTTTAGTTGCAATATCGTGATGAGTATATCAATGTTTCGTGGTGATCAGTTTCTATATATTTATTTTTCAGGTTTAATCTTGATCCAGATAAGAAACAAAGTGATGGTGAATTGTGGGAAGCATTGGAGATTGCACAGTTGAAGTCGATTGTTTCAGAGCTTGATAGGAATCTCGGTATGACGTCATTATCATATATTTTTATATTATTTTAGTGTCATAGATGTTTACCGTTTAACATAGATATATATTTTAGGATCTCCGAAATAATTATTTTTAAGATCCCAATTTGTCGAGATGCTGCGCTCGGTAGTATTCATGGAAACGTGCAACGGAGGACAACTGTGTTCTTTTGCATATTCTACAATGCTGATACCAAAATATATACCCAGATATGTGTAGTACATATACAATTTAGTATTATTATTTGTTCACATTTAAGACGCACAAGTATCCGAAGACGGTGAAAACTTCAGCGTTGGACAAAGACAGTTATTTTGTTTAGCCAGGGCCTTTCTTAAAAAATCTCAAATTCTCGTGATGGATGAAGCTACAGCGTCAATTGACTATCAAACGGTAAGTTTGAGTCCGAGTCCGATGCGTGTATTTGCATATCTGGACTATCGTATCGTATCCCTATTGGACCCACAATCGAGATATGTAAATACAATTGTAATTGACATAACTGTAGTATAGATTTTGTATTGAGCGTTTTTTTGGTGGAGCAACTCACAATTAATGTCAACATAATAACATCGAATGTTAGGCAACTCTTGATAATCTTTCCGAAATAAACTACAGCTACTGGGACTTGCAACTTGAACAATTAAATGCCTTCGCAAATAGTACATGAACCCTGTGACAACGCACAGTAATTGTGAAATAGGTTATATAAACAAGTTACGATTGATATTTTTCAGGACAAAATATTGCAAGACGTGATATCTACAGTGTTTGCTGACAGGACCGTCATCACCATTGCTGTGAGTATTTGATACAAATATATCGACTCCGACTAAACCCTTATTTCCCAGAGTGCAATGATAACTCGGTCAGATGACACTATTTACATACTCCATATGTTTGGAACAATAAACTAAATCACAAATCTTATGAATTCCCGTTCAATCGTCGCTATTATGTTGATTGTATAGTTCTTAAAATACCAAACACAACAAATGAACTTTTTGCTAGGCGGGACAATTCTCTGATAATAATAATGGACGCATAATAATACAGTTGTTGATTTAATGATAGATTTATTGTCTCGTATACAAGGACACATGGCCTTGACTCAGCAAGTAACAGCTTCCTAACGCAAATATTGATATCCAGCCACGCGGTATCAGTCACTGTGTCATTCATGTTTTGGCACATGTTTACATACGTCGACGTGTGGTTTATGTGGTCTACGTCCTGTCACGTCGATGACCTGCATCTACCAAAACAATGCCTGATACGAAACTGCGCGAACAAGTTTTGACTTCGTACTAACATTAATTTACTTAGACACTTGTATTCGTTTCGCTGAGAGTAATGCATATACCGGTATTTTCGTATGTCCATATTTATTATGAAATCCCTTCGACTACTGTGTCATTACTATCATCATTTATGATTTAGACATGGCTAGGTATATTTTAATTAATATTGCATTATCCAATTATTGTTAATTAATATGTGATGATTTTTTGCAGCATCGTATATCTACAATTCTCGACTCTGACGTTGTACTTGTGTTGAGTGATGGCAAGGTTATAGAATATGATACACCACAGAATCTACTCAAGAAGGAAGATAGTATGTTTGCCTCATTAGTGAAAGGGAACAAATAGACAAATCAGAGATTAAGAACTTAACACATTAAATTATAAAAATGTTGTGAAAGATATTGACGAGATAAAGTGGGAGAAAAAAAAAGATAAACAAATAATGCCCGAAACTCTACATAATATTCAAAACAAGGAAAAAGAAACCTAAATGTTATCTAAACTTCTTGAACAACGTAGCA